GATGTTCTGTGACCTTCTCCAGCCTGATGAGCATCAACAACTCTTCTGAGCTCCTCAGAGATCTCCTTGTTCCACCAACATGTTGTGAAGATCAGACGTTGATAGATCCTGATCTTTAGATCAAACAGGTGATCACTCACACCTGATCATCATCATTGATTGAAAGCACCTGACTCTAATTTCACCTTCAGATTAATGATAATCCCAGAGGTTCAGGTACTTTCATCACTAACATGTGATGTTGATCATTGTTGATCATTATTGATCATTGTCCTGAATCAATAAATGAAGCAGTTTAATGTGGAGTCTCTTTAGTTTAACTGGTTCTCTTGATCTACTTTGAGGACTTGTGTGAATCTGAACATGTTTTCAGTTGATGCAGAAATATAGAAAAGTATAAAATAATTCACAAAGTTAAGGCACCGTTGTACCTGCTGCAGAGAACATTCGTTATAAAAGTACAAGAACAAACATGAACGTGTTCTGAGCACGTCATTGTACAGACGTGTGCACGTGACCAAACGTCTCGTCCTCAAAGGACACGGCCTGAACGTGCACTCACAGAGACACCAGCTGGTCTGCTGCTGTAGTTCTTATAATTCAATAAATTACCACTAGTCCTCGGATTATAAACACGTTTGTAGTAAATGTTTGTACACGTGTTTGTAGTCGTAGGGGGTTAAGGTACACGAAGGCCGCCACATACTCGGGCGTACTTCACTCCGCGGAGATCCACGTGCACTGGAGGCGAAATCAAGGAGGACTTGAAGCGGACGCCCGCAGGGCACGTCCACGCAAAGATCAATTTTTATGATTGCGTACTCGGTGTCGCCCAATAAGCTGCCCGACACGGACCGTTTTGTTTGTGACACCAATGTATTAAATTCACCGTCTTCATCCCTGATCCGACCTTTTCTTTTGGTTTTTCCAAGAGTCGAGCATCTTCCTCATCCTCCGTTGACTCCATGACTGAAACGGTGAGAAATGAAGGAATTGGTCAAGAGAGAATTAAACTCGGGTCCAGCGTGGCTGCGGGAGGGTCTGGAGATTTCCTGGTGGGCTGCTCTGATGTGTGGGCTGCAGGGCCAGCGCTCCTTGTTTTTTTTTTTATTTAAACTTTTTATTAACAACATAAAAACAGAACATCACTGCCTCTACCCAGGGCCATCGGCAGCTGATTTAGTTTTTTTGGCAACCTGTCAATCAGTCCAGTAGGTATTTAGTAGGTCCCCGGTATTTAAGACAGTCTGACAGGTCTCCTTTGATCTGTGGTTCTGAACCAGATGAGTTCTGCACCTGAGCAGGCAGCAAGCAGACTGGACCGAACAATCCTGACAGATAATTTAATTGGTTCTGACTGGTCAACAGCTTCAGAACCGGTCCACACGTACCAACATGTAACCTTCATGTTTCCTTCTGTAAACACGATGTGATCTCTTGTCTTCAGAACCCTGGACCGTTCGGCCTCCATTCTGACAGAGGTCCAGTTTAAACCAGAATTTGAACGACCACAGAACCATCAGCTTTAAGACCAACAGGGTGGATGAGTGTGTTCTGGTTCTGGTCTCACCCGGTCGTACTTCTCCCTCAGCTTCTGGGCCTTCTCTTCGTACGGTTGCTTCTCGGACTGGGACAGTTTGCTCCACATCTCCCCCAGCTTCTTGGCACAGTCTCCTATGGACAGACCCGGGAACTGCTGCTTCACGCTGGGTCGGTACTCGCTGCAGAACACAAAGAACGCTGACCTGCACACAGAACCAGAACCACAGTCAGAACCAGAAAACATAACTCCAGCAGATCATCAGAGAAAACTGCAAGAAATACGTTACACAGAGCAGCGACTTAGTTCATCGTGATGATTGTTACAGTCTCCAGTGTTTCCACGAGGTCACTGGTGCTGGCACGGAGCTCATGTCTTTGTAGATGGACAACCTTTGGTCTCCACAGAGTCCTCGTCTATCTCTGTCCTCTGTCCTCACTCCAACTCCATGTCCTCTCTAACTTTATCTCCCAGTTGTTCAACCTGTGCTGTACCTCTGATGATCTCATTCCTGATCTTCTCCATCCTTGTCTCTCCTAAGGAGAACCTCAACATCTTCATTTCTGCCACTTCCAGTTCTGTCTCCTGTCTTTTTGTCCATGTCTCTGTCTCCAGACCATACAACAGAGCTGGTCTCACCACTGTCTTGTAAGCTTTTCCTTTGACCTTTGCCGACACCCTTTTGTCTTGAATCACTCCTGAAACTTTTCTCCATCCACTCCATCCTGGTCTTTATCGGTCCTTTTCGGGTCTGGAACCGAGGTCTCTTGTCGTCGTCATCATCATCATCATCATCATCATCATCATCATCATCACTCAGCTGTTTACCCTCAGCTGAGACGCCTCTTGATTCCAGTCCATTAAGTCAACGTGGGGACAGTCGGCCTCAGTGGGTCTTGAAGTAGTTTCTTCTTTGAGCTTCTGTTCCTTGTAGAAACGGTGACGTGTTGCACTCTGTCTCGTTTGGCTGAGCCCACCAAGAAGAACTGTTCTCTGAGAGCTTGATCAGAACCGGCTCTGAGTCGTCGGACCCTCACGACTCTCAGTGACTGATGGATGTTTTGCTTCTCATTAAAGAACATAGATATTTTTTACTTTGATGTTTTGTCTCATCTGACCACAGCAGCTCCTTCCACAGCTGTGATGTCTCCTTCCTGTCCACTCTTACATGAAGTCCAGCTCTGAGCAACTTCCAGTGGTCCTGTCCCCAGCTCCATCAGGGTTGTCCCTC